AAAATATTGAATGATGCAGGAAACATCAAAAGAAGATGGAAGGAATATACAGAGTCACTGTACCGAAAAAAAAGTGGTCCATGTTCATCCATTTCAGGAGGTGGCATATGATCAAGAACCAACGGTATTAAAGGAAGAAGTTGAAGCTACACTGAAGGAAGTGATGAAAAACAAGGCTCCAGGAATTGACGTAATAACCACTGAGATATTTTAGCAACTGGGTACTGCGCTGAAGGCACTCACTTGGTTATGCCAAGAGATTTGGAAGACAGCTACCTGGCCAACTGACTGGAAGACGTCTATATTTGTACCCATTCCAAAGAAAGGTGATCCCACAGAATGTGCAAATTATCGAACAATATCATTAATATCACATGCAAGTAAAATCTCACTGAAGATAATTCAAAAATGGTTGTAGCAGTATATTGACAAGAGAACTTCCAGAAATGCAAGCTGGATTCAGAAGAGGATGTGGAACAAGGGATATCATTGTTGATATCAGATGGATCTTGGCTGAAAGCAAAGAATACCAGAAAGATGTTTACTTGTGTTTTATTGACTATGCAAAGGCATTCGATTGTGTGGATAACATTGAGAAGAATGGGAATTCCAGAGCTCTTAATTGTACTCATGAGGAACCTGTACATAGACCAGGAGGCTATCATTTGAACAGAACAAGGGGACACTGCATGGTTTAAAATCAAGAAAGGAGTGTGTCAGGGTTGTATGTATCCTTTTACCATACTTATTCAATCTGTATGCTGAGCAAATAATCTAAGAAGCTAGACTATAAGAAGAAGAACGTGGCATCAGGATTGGAAGAAGAGTCATAAATAATCTGTGTTAAGCTGACAATACAACTTTGCTTGCTGAAAGTGAATATGACTTGAAGCATTTACTGATGAAGATTGAAGAATACAGTCTGCAGTATGGATTACATCTCAATATAAAGAAAACAAAAATCTTCACAATTGAACCAATAAGTAGCCTCACAATAAATGGAGAAAAGATTGAAGTTGTCAAAGACTTCATATTACTTGGTTCTACAATCAACACCAATAGAAGCAGCAGTCAGGATGTCAGATGATGTATAGCACTGAGCAAATTGGCTGTGAAGGACTTCTGTCAAGTGCTGAAGAGCAAAGGGATCTCCTTGAAGACTAAGGTACACTGACACAAGTCATGATATTTTCGATCGCCTCATATGCATCTGAGAGCTGGACAATGAATGTCGTTGTTGTTATGTGCTGTTGAGTCGGACCCGACTCATAGC